CCTCCCCTCATGAGCCCTGGGCTTCAGTCGAGCTGACCCACCGCCCCACCTTTGCCTGGGCTGTGCCCCCTGCAGTCCACTGGGCCCTTGGGTCTCTGTTGTTTTGTGCTATTGTTGATCCATGTGCCTGTCTGCTCCCCTCAAACCCAACTAGACTGTGAGCTCCTGGAGGACAGGGATCCCAGGACCCTCCCTTCAGGCCCCAGAACCCAGCACAGAGTTGGCACTCCACCACATCTGTCCCTCAAATGAAAAGTGTGGCCCTAGCAGGAGGCTCCACATTTGGTCAGTCTGTCTGCACAGGCCTGTGCTGGCCCCATCTAAACCCAGATCCAAACTTTCCGAGATGTAGCCTTTTAATGGAGGCTGCCCTACCCCAGCCAGGGATGGCCCTTGTCTCCAGGGACCCCAGGGAACCCAGACTTCATCCCTGAGAGGTGAGACCTAAGCCAGACCTCCCATTTTGCAGAGGACAAAACTGAGGCCTGGAGAGGAGAAGCCTGGCCTCAGGTCACATAGCAAATCAGAAGCAAACACCAGACTGGTTCCCAGGTCCCCTCCTCTTTAGCATAGGTCCACTCTATCCACTCCCCACCATGCTGTATATTCTGAAGTGCTCTGTGGGAGCTTAGATGAGGAGGGGGCTACCAGGTGGTACCCAAGGGGCCATGGACAGTGAGGTCCTGATGCAAGGCCCTGTCGGGGCTCCCACACCCAAAGGGTTCTCACCTCGGCCCCCTACCCAAAGACCCTGCAGTTTTCCTTTGAAAAGTTTAGTCATCCAACCTTTGATTTGCATGCCTGTGGTTCTCCCATTGTGGCCACAGACTTGGGGGTTCAGCATTGCCCTCTGTAGGGGATCCTTGAACTGGGGTGTGACCTTGTAGGGGGGTGACCTGGTACACTCAATTCTTCCTCTGGCAGAAGGGGCAGCCAGGTCCTGAGGCCCTTGTAGGAGAGAGGTCCTAGTAGGAGAGAGGGAACCCTGAGGAGGAAGGTTTGGATGAGAGGCAGAGGAAGGGCATTCAGGCAGTGTGGTAACTGTGTCAGCAAAGGGGGTGGAGGACTGGACACAAATGCCCGGTGAGCTGTGCACATGTCCAGGGCAGAGGACACAGGGCAGGAGTCAGTGGTCAAGGGCCAAGAGAAGGCTGGGGTCCGACACAGGGTGCTAACCGAGGCATTTGGACTTTGGGAAACTATGGAGGGTGTCTGAGCTGGGGGACAGTGGTCAGAGCTGAAGCTGGGGCACAGAAGGAGGGAGGGCCAGAAGGGGAGCTTGATGCCCCACCTACTTCTGGAGCCAGAGGACCAGCTGGGGCTCATCCGAGGCTGGGCAGGGGGCATGCCAGGCCTTCACCAGTGTCCCCAGAGTTGTGGCCAGAGGCCACCTCCCTGGCTTCCTCCTCCTTCCTCCCTCCTCCCTGCCTCCCAGAGCAGAGCCGCCAGCTCCCTGCTGCGATGGGAGTGATTAGATTAGAAGGTGATTTTGGGGTCTGATTATCTTGGGTGGAAATTGGCCCCCTGTGTCTTTTTCCATCCCACCTAGAGCTGGGGAGGTGGGGAGCAGTGTCTCCATTGCCACCCAGGCTGAGCAGACTCTTTCACAAATGTGTTTGAGACCAGGGTGTGAGACCTGGTTTCCTGAAGGGACAGATGGATAGGCTCGGAGACGGGAGAGTTCAAATCCTGGCTCTGCCCCTCACCAGCAGGGACCCTGGGAAAACCACTCCGCCCTGAGCCTCAGCTTCCTCCTCTGTACACTGAGGGCCAGTGTGAAGACTTGGAAATGACTGGTGTGAAGGGCTTAGCACACTGCCCGGCACAGAGCAAGTGTCCTCTAGAACATAGCGCCAGGCACTGTCACTGCTGTCTGCACTCTGAATGCATGAAGTGTGTTCCTCCGTCACCTTTAAAGATCTACAGTGACCCCACCCCCACATGACCTCCCTGCGCCTCAGTTTCCTCATCTGCCTAATACTGATAATATTTAACAACCCCTCCTGACAGCCCACACACAAGCTGAGCTTGTGCACGACAAAGCATTTTAGCAGCAAGTTATAATATCCAGGGTCCCATTACTGGGCCCTGGTTCCTCCTGTTTGTGTCCCTTAGGGGGTGGGTAGGCCGCAGGGTCTGCCTGTGATGGGAAGAAGACACCAGGCCTGGGCTGCTTGGCCTGGCATCAGTGTCCAAGCTCATTCTGTGGTCCTTGGTATTTCCTGCCCAAAAGAGTACTGTCCTTCTGTCCTGGGAATGGGCAAGGAGCTAACAGAAGAGCTCGCCATCTGAGGATCTGGGTTCTGTTACAGTTCCCCGGGTTTCATGCCCCCCTGGAAGCCTTTATGACTTAGTTTACCCATTCATGGATAGACAAACTGACTTTTACCTGCCTTAAAGGAGTTTACTGGAGTGTGTTTGTCTTCACTTTAAGATCCTGAGATATTGGATGCCCAGAGGCTCAAACACCACACACATACACACGCATACACACATGTACATGCACACACACAGATACACACACAATCTCAAGATACTGTTCAGTTCCTAGAAGGAAAGAGCAGGTGAAACATCTTGGGAAGTGGAAATAGATTGCTTGCTTTAAAGAAAGTGCTTCAAGTCCTGACTCATAACTTCTTGACGCTTATTTTAGATAAAATTCTACTGAGTTTGTTGACCTAGACTTCAAGTCTGAGGCACATTGGAAAATGAGAAGGCTGTTAGAGACATGTTACCCTGAAAACAGGGAGAAGTGGCCATCAATCTTGAGAGGAAAGAAGGAAAAACTCTAAGAAGCAGAGCTGAGTTCAAGAAGCAAGTCACCAGGGCCATTTAGTGTCTGGGGTCAGTCACTAAATGGACCGCTCGGGCCCCTCAGACCCTGTCTTGCAAACCCAACGTAGTTCTTACTATTTGACCTGAGGACAGCCCGAGACTCTGCTCCAGGCCAGGACTGGATTCCTACTTCTCTGTTGAAGAAAGAAGTATGTGCTTCATTGTAGAGAGCTTTCTATCCAGAGTGGTAAAAATTAAAATCAGGAAAAAATGGGCACCTGACTGTTATTTTACTAAATAGAGTGGCCTCTGGCAGGACTGAGGGGGCCTCCCCAGGTGTGCCCTGAGCCTCTGCAGGTGACACCACTCAGCCCAGTCAGTCGCAGGTGCCAACTCTCTTTTTGTGAGTGGCCTGTTTGTTCTGAGAAAGCTGCTAGCAGGATGCAGTAGCCATGCATCTCCAGCACCAGCCTGAGGATGAGGGGCCAGCAGCCTCCTGATGTCAGACCTAGGTTGTCATAGCTGCTGTCCATTTCCTGGACCAGGTCCCAGCCGCCCTCACTGGGGTCACTTTGTTTCCCCAGAAAGGCCACAGCTTCAGCTGGTTTCCCCTTTTTCCCCCCGTATTTTTCCAATTTTTTTATATTGTGGTAAAATATTCAATAATATAAAATTGACCATTTTAACCATTTTTAAGTGTACAGTTCCATGACAGTAAATACATTCATATTGTTGTGAAGCCATCACCACCATCTATCTCCAGAATTTTTTTCATCCTGTAAAATTGAAACTCTGTCCCCATTAAACACTAACTCTCCGTTACCCTGCCCCTGGCAACCACCGTCCTACTTTCTGTCTCTGGGTCTCACTACTCTGGGGACCTCCTGTAAATGGAATCAAACAGTATTCGTCTTTCTGTGACTGGCGTATTTCACTTAGAATTATGTCCTCTAGGCTGATCCACGTGGTAGCATGTGTCAGAACTCCCTTCCCTTTTAAGGCTGAATAATATTTTATTGATATACAACGTTTTCAGTGGGTTTCCCTTTGCATATTCTCCTCCTTCTGCCGCAAACTTCCTGAGTGGTCCTGGACAGGTTGTTCCCTGACCTGCACGGTGGAGGGGCTTGCCTTTCAGTAGCAGCAAGACCCTCTAGTCAAACAAAAGCTGACACAGAAACCCAAAGATGAATGAAAATGGAGCCACTCTGAGCAGAGGTCACCCACCACCACCCCCAGCTTCTCCTGCTGCCCCCTGAAAAAATTCCAGGACCCTCTGGAACCCAGTTTGAAAAATCTAAAATTCTAGGAAAGGGGTCCTTAACTTTTCTTGCACCATGGACCCCTGGGGAAGTCTGGTATCATCATATGCTACCCCTATTTGGAATTACACTTTGAAATGCATAAAACGAAATACATTGGATGACAAAGGAAGACAGTGAGACTGAAATAAAGTAACAAAGTGTGTGATATAGTAATGTATGTGCTTCTTCATTATCGCAGTGTATAACAAGATCATATGTCAGTTTAATAATCACCTTAGTTGTAAAATAAGGGTATCATGATATCTGCTACAGCTGTCAAGTGATATGAAAAAAAAATGTGATTCTTATAACATGTGTAATGGTGTTGGGGCACCACTAACACTCCTGGGGTTTGTTACCTACATTCATAAGGGTGAGGGGCTACATTTCAGTTAGATGTTTGTAAAAATAAATTTGACATTGTTTTCTCAGCCTAGTTCACAAAGCCCTGGATTCTTTCACCAGATCTTTGGGAGGGGGCAAACCCCACTTTAATCCCCTATAAAGGGATTAGTTGGTATTTCTTTGCTGGTTATAGCATTAAGCAAAATGAGGCCCGGTTCTAGATAGATCAATAAGGAAAAGAGAGAGCTGTCCCTGCTTGGCCTGTAAGTGGGGGAGAGAAGTAAAAGAGAGATAGAGGGAGGAAGGACTCTCCAGGAGAGGGTGGTGGGTGGTAGGCCTGAACTGTCTGGAGGCCTAAGAACTGAGGTATAACAGTGTTTGAGTCCCAGGCCCATCACAGTGCTGTCCCAAGGTGAAATCATCCTAATACATTCATAGTTTGAACCTTAACTATGGGTGGTGTCCTAGAACCTCAGCAGGCAAATTGCCAGCAGACTCTGGATGGAGTTCCTTCCACTCCTTTGAGGAGGGGACTTGGCAGTGCAATGGTAACTTGGCCTCCATTCCCTTCCCCAGGGACGCACGTGATGGAGGGCTCTGGACGGATGGTGGTGACCGCTGTGGGTGTGAACTCTCAAACTGGCATTATCTTTACCCTGCTGGGGGCTGGCGGTGAAGAGGAAGAAAAGAAAGACAAGAAAGGTAAGCCCAACCCCCTTGTGGGCCAGGAGAGGAGCTCTTAAGGCCACTTTTTTGTTGTTGAATCATTCACTCCACAAAATAGTTATTGAGTGCCTTTTATGTCCATACCCTGTGCCAACAGTCACTTCCTGCATCCTCGAGGCCCTGCTCATGCCAGGAGGGCTCTGTCTGTTCCATCTCCAGGGTCTTGTCCCAGTCTCTGTCTTGTCCAGTCATGTCACGGAAGCCCCTCCTCCTCCACCACTGGGCCAGGCCAAGGGTGCTGAGCATTTGTTGAGTCTCCAGCCTCAAGTGTAATCTGGTCCCATCTGCACCCCTTATATCAAGTAGAAATCCCCACCTGAGCATATTTCTCCACTCTTCTCAACTCCACTGAGCAGAGCTGCAAACCCACCCATCATAGATTCTCCCCAGATGTGGGCAGAGGGGCTTCTAGGTAAGGTAGCTCCAAGTCAACTGCTATGAGCCCCTTTCAAATGCCCCTGGCACTGCCACCTCACCTGGGTTCTGGCTCCTTCTCCCCCTAGAAACAAGAGCCCTCCTTCCCTGGGCCCTTCTCAGAGCAACAGGCTGGCAGCCTGGGATATAGGTGCTTCTAAAAGCAGAGGAAGAGTGCTCAGAAGATACAGGAGCCCAGGCTTCTAGCCCAAGCACGGCCAGTTCCTCACTCAACACTCACACTTGGTCAGGACAGCCCCCTCTCACATCCTTAGTCTTTTGTCTTATCTCCTTCCCAAAGCTCAAGAGGAGGGTCCCCAACACCCAGACTTTTTGGATTCCAGAGGAAGGAGATGAGATGGCAGGTTACCCGTGATTGAATTTTAGGGGTAGCCCTCCTACCTCCAGCTCTCAGAGGTCAACCAGGCACAGAGCCTGGGTCACTATCAAAGGTTACTTGTCCCCAAGGGTGAAACCCATTTCCTAGTGGAGTCCCCCTAAGATTATGGCTTCCCCACCAGTAGGAACAATGGAACTGAGATGTGATCAGTGAAATCCATATCTGGAGAGCAAGAGAAGAGCTGAGGTTGTAACTAAGAACAAAGTCCTGGCCTAGAGGACCAGAGCATGTCAGTACAGTGTCCATGCAATGACATAGAAGCTATGGCTTGCTGTGGCCCCAGGCTGCAGGCATTTGGGCAGGTGTGGGCATTTGGGCAGGATGCAGCAACCTTTGCCCATTTCCTTGGCCTCACTGTGGCCTGGATGAGGGTCAGAAGGTCACCTAGGACAGACCTGTGTTTTTGAAAATGCCAGTAGGAAGACAGCTTTCTCCTGTCTCAAAGTGAGGGACAGGGTCCTTCACTCAACATTTACTTACACCCCAACGAGATGAGGGCATCAGTATAGAAGGAAGAGGTCGGATGTCAAGGTGACATCCCCGTGAAGATAGGGGACAGCCTCACCCCTCACATCCTCATGAGCAGCACAGCTGGGGCTGGGCCCCCCAGCACTGCCATCCCATCACCTCCATCAGGGACAGTGCTTAAAGCCCGACAACCTTGGGTCCCCATTTCAGGATGACCCTGGGAGTGCCGGGATGTGTGTGTGCGTGTGTGTGCATGTGCGTGTGTGTACGCACAAATGAGGCTGTGTGTGCTTCTCCTTCATTAATATGTCTCAAAAATCATCACACAGGTGTGAAGAAGGGGGATGGCCTTCAGCTACCAGGTACAGTAAGACACCCCTCAGGGTAGTTGGGGCTTTTAGAAATAGCAGTAGCCTTTGACCACTGAGCCTGGGCCCTAGACCCAGTCAAGGAGGCTCCTTGACTGCAGGGGCTCTGCCCCACCAGACCCTCAGCTGTACTCTCGGTGATGCCAGCCCCACAGGACAAGCCAGTACCCCATTCTGCCTACTTGCTCCTCCAGTGCGTCGTCCTGCAGGCCAATGCCAATGGCACCACCACTGTCTCCATACGGGCCTCTGCCCCACACACATACATGCAGGGGCCTATCAACCCCACAACCCTGCTTCCCTGCCCATACCCACAGAGCCTGGCTGACTTCCCCTTACCCATGGCGTGTCCACCTCACCCAGCAGTCTCTTCCCTCTCCTGCCCACAGAACTTGTTCCCCCACCCCAAGAAAAAACAACATGAATGAATTTCACCATCTTGTATCATTTTTAATTTCTAAATTAAGGGAAACTCTCTAGTACCTTCTCTGTCTCATACACAGAATGTGACATATTTGATGTCTCCTTTTAAATGATGGGGCATCTCACACGGGATTGCCAAAGCAGCGTTTTGAGTGCTGGTTAGGAAGGAGGTAGCCATGAGTGGTGGCCTGAGTCAAGGGCATGAATCCTGCTAAGTCACTGCCCTCGACGGATGTTCTGCCTGTACACGTGATGGTGGTCATAGCAATACCCATTGGGAATGGCCAGCGCCACAGTGACCAGTTGTTGAATGTTTTGAATTGAATCTGTGCCATGGGCCCCTCTGGCCCTGATGGGAAGCCTGAACCCCTGTCCTCATAGAACACTCTCTGATGGGGACCTGCCTGATTGGTAGGGCAACAGGGTGCATCTGTCAACACCTCCCCACAGAGCAGTGCCATCCCACCTAAGCACACTAATCATACTCCATGTTTTATTTCAAAGACCCTCCATGTCTGAGTTTTTTTACCCTCACTTCTCTGGCATCTCTATGAGAACATTTCACCCCCCACCCCCAAATTTGAGTTTCTTGATCTCCAACCAGAGATTTTCTTTGAAGACTATAGTCATGTTACTTCCTCAAGTTGGTTCATGTCTTTATTGTTGTTGCTGTTCTGCATTGTTGCTTTTCTCCATTGTGACACACTGCATTTTCCATCCCTCCCACCCCCGCAGCGGCCGATGGTGCGGCAGGTTCAAATGCTGCAGATAGTGCAAATACCAGCCTAGTCAATGGTACGTCTCCCATGGCAAGCTCTCGGTCTCGGGTGGATGGGCATCTCTTTCCCCCACCCCCAACTTTGGGCTGGCCTCTCCCTATTCTGGACCGCACAGATCTTGGATGTGCATGGACAGCTCCGGGACAGTCGTCCTCTCCCATAGGGCAGGCGCTTAAGAGAGAAGCCACCACAGGGAATCAGCTCCATGCCCTCTTGCGGCACCAAAACGGCACTGGCTCCTGTGGGGCCTTTGACCCTCAGTGGAGCCCTGAAGAGGAACATGACCTTGGCTTCAGATTTGGCCCCAAGAAGCAATGTCCCACCTATGTGGCCCTCTCCTAAGGACGTTCCTGGCCCCTGCTTTGGGAAGAAGGCCTGGGATCAGGACCTGGGCTGAAGCTGGCATCTGGGTCCCCAGTGAAGGCTCCAGTCCTTGACTCTAAAATTATCTCGAGGCTGGGGGACCCAGGCCCAGTTTCAGTCCCTTGGCCCCACCTCATAGCATGGCTGAGCCACCGGTAGACCTTCCTTCCTCTTCTCTTTCACGGAGCGAATGGGCAGGGGGTTCGCTTGGGCTCGGGCCTGGTCTGTCCCTCGGATGTGGACTGGTGTCTCGCTGTTGCCTGTGCTGGAGCGTTTGTCCTGGGTCTTTGCATTCTGACTGGCCCCTCAGGGGGAGGGAGCTGCCACTGTACCTGGCCTGCATCTTACCTCCTCAGACGCAGGCCGGGAGGAGTTCCGTGCACTTGCCTCCAAGCCTTTAGAAGATGTCTTATTTCTATGCTCTCCCATCTTCAGAGCAATGAGGCTTCTATTATGTCCCCTGCCCCCAAATTAGGTAGCATGATAGTCACTCGGGCTGTTCCTGAACGGCTGAGAGCTGTTAGGGCTCAGTCATGAAGCCAGTGCCCCAGCACCGCTGCATACCAGGCACCGGGCTGTGGGTTTCTCATCCATTGTATCATTTCCTCCTGGAAAACAGGGAGATCTTGTCCCACCTCATCCTGCCCGACCTCTGGCTGAGCCACCTGGATTCAAAGGGACCAAAGATGGAAGCACCTCGTAGATGTCAGGGACTGGGCAAGACGCTGCTTCTGTTAGCAGCGCCTTGCCAAGTAGGACTAATTTGGGTGTGGGTCTATTTCAGGAACAGGGGAGAAAGGAAGACAGCTTGGGGTGTGGGAGGTGTCTTGCGTCAGGGAGGGGTGGTGAGGGATGACAGGGAAAAACGATGCAGGCAAACCCTCAGCCTGGGGGAGAAGGAAACAGGATGTGGCATCCTGCCTCCTCCAGGGTGATGAGCCTGCATCTGGGCTGGCCGGTTCCTAAAACTCAAAGTATCCCAAGAAAAACTGCAGGAAAGATGGGGAGCTGACATTTCTCGACCACCTAGGCACTTTGCGAGCATTTTATGCTTGCCTTCTCATTTAATCCTCATGACAATCCTATGATACAGAGTTTATTATCCCCACTTTAAAGATGAGGAAACTGAGGCCAGGGAGATCAAGACCTTAGCCCAAAGGTCACAGAACTAGGAAGCAGGAGAGCTGGGATTTGAACCCAGGCCTGGCTGGCTCTAAAGTGTGTGTTCCTCTTCCTGACCCAGGATTTCCTGATGGAGTGTGTCTTGTAAACTTCACAAGGATATTAAGAGGTCTTCCCCCACAGAAAAAGATCCTGTGATCAAAGATGTTAAGAATCTCTGGATAGACTTGGTGTCTTCCCGGAGGCAGGACTGCCTTGAATATGCTGCTGTGTATTGGAGAGTTACAGAGCTATGCAGGAGTTCCCAGTCCAATTTGGCTGGAGGACTTCTTCTGGCTGAATCTGTGGGATTGTTATGCCCCTATAATACACTTTGGGAAACAGTGCTCTAAGCCATTGCTCAAAATGTGATTGGAGGACCAGAAGGCTGGGCATCTCCTAAAAGCTTGTTAGAAATGTAGAATCTTAGACCCTCACCCCAGACCTATTGAATGGGAACCTTTGTTCTGACAAGCTCTCCAGGCTCCAAAGGGTGCATAAAGGTTGAGAGGCGCTAGACTGAGGCATGGTGAGTGAGAGAATTAACTGTCCCTTTTCCTTCACTCCTCTGAGCCAAATGGGGATGACTTGGAGATAAAAAACAAATTCATTGGCAGTATTCCCTTGTCTTTACTCCCCCAAACCCTGTCCCAACTGAAAGATAGTTGGGTTCCATTCATCCTGAAGGCCTTATGATTGCCATTATTATTATTTCTTTTATGATTATAAATGTAATAATACATCACTCTTAACCCCAGACATTTATAGGACACTTTGTGGTGCTTTTCGTAAGCTTGGTCAAAATTGTTGCATTTCACTGAGAAAGAAATGGAGAAGCAGGGAAGACAACTGACATTTCCCAGGTCTCCTAGTTAGTGATCTATCTGTCTCCCCAGAGATTCAGGTCACCTCTCCATGAATCCTCCACAGCCATGCTTTTCACACCCAAGTCCCTGGCAATGCTTGAAGAGAACAGACTCATTTGGGAAAGCTGCATCTGGCATCTGATGCAGAGGGATCTTCAAGTCCCCCCCCAGTTCCCCATTTTGGGTCCTGTCCTACATCCCAGCTCTCCTGAAACACAGCCCATCCTTCAGGTCCCACAGGGTGCCAGAGCTGGCTGTTCAGGGCCAGGAGAGCACCATTTCGCTGAGGAGAGCCCCCAGTAAGTCCTTTGCTTCTGAGAAACCAGGCCATCTGCACAGGAGCACCCCTAGAACACAACTACCTTCCTCAAACATATGCATTGGTGATTATTTTTCTGGCCACGTGGTTACTATGGAAATAAAAGAGGAAATTGCTAGCTTGGTTAATGGGCTCTGATAATATGCAATACAAATAAAGGCCCCTTCGTGCCATCTAAAAGCAACTATTGAAGTGGAGTCCTCTGGTGCCCTTTAGCCCAGTTTATAAAATTATTTTTTAAAATAAAAATAATTATTGTAGTTCATTTCTGTTTGCTCTAAATGGCCTTTTTCTATTTTGTTTCTTAATGCGGTAGAAAGAATTTTACAATGGAGCAACGAAGGCCTTTCTCTTTGATCCCAGGTGGGTCACTGAGCCTTTGCTGCGAGAGGCAGAGGGAAGAGCACTGCACTTTCCTTGGAGAGAGAGAGTGGGGTTGGGATCCAAGGAAGCCACTTCCTGGGCCCTGAGTCCCCGCAACCAGGTATGGTGATGGTGACAACACTGTTGATGGAATTAATATTGCAGCCACAGAGTGATCATCAGGATGCTCCATATAAGAGCCTCTGAACTTTCCTTGGCCTCAGTTTCTTCATCTGTAAAATGAGTGAGGAAAGCTCTCCCGCCCGCTTTACAGGGTGTTGGGAAGACTGACAGGAGATGACTCTTGCACACTGCAAAAGGCTGAATGAGCCAGCGGTTATTACTAAGACAACTTTTAGGTGTTCTGGGAGGTGAACATTGCATCCCCATTTTCCAGAAGTGGGAGCAGAGGATGGGCGAGGTAATGCCACAAAGTTAGCTGGTGTCAAACAAGGGCTTCGGGAGCCCAGTCTCCCCAGTGCCACCTCAGTGCCCCTCCCCTCGTCTCAGAGGGGCTGAGAGGTGGCTGTGTTCTCCCCAACTGGGTGGAAACATGCACACACTTTGGAGCCACCTCTCCACTTACCCACCGAGACCCAGGCAGGCCATCTCCCTCTCTGAGCCTCAGTTTCTCATCTGTAAATGGGTATAAATGCAAGAGCACCCTTGTAGGGATGCAGTGAGGACTAGATGACATCATGGAGGTTGTGTATGCGCCTGGCACATGGTGGGTTCTTCTGGAATGTAAGCTGTGGGAATCACCTTTGCAACAAATGTCTAAGGGTGGCTGACCTCCTCTGACCCCTCCAGAGGTGGTGAGGCCTGCATGCAGAGTCCTGGGTGAGCTCAGTGGACAGGCCCAGTGGGAAGGTGTCCCTCTCCACAGTGCAAACAGGGGAAGGCAGGTGTCTCAGCTACCAATGAGGAGTCTCTAGCCTCTCCCACCCTGCCAACACAGCCTACAAGCCTCTGGCTGTGGAGAGGGCCTCCCAGGCAGCCCTGATTAAGGGATGGGGAACCGCAGACTCAGCCTTTTCCCTAGCACTAGGCAACATCAGGAGCTGGTCTGCAGGGCCAGGGGTGGGAGGCACCCGTGGGAGCCCACCCACCCGACCTTTCCTTTCTAATGTGGCCTGAGCTGGTCGGCCTCAGAATAAAGAGCGCAAGTGCCAATGGAAAGGAGGTTGGCAGCTCCCTGGGAGCCAGGGTAATCCCACCAAGACACACTTGGGGTACTGCAGAGCCCACCACTGAGAGTGCCCACCCTTTGCATGGGTCACTCTCAGTGGGACTGGGCGTGGGGCTCGCCATGCTGGGGCTTCACACCCCTTCAGAAGGAAAGGAGAAAGTAGCATTATTTCTCCTGGAGCCAGGAACTAAGGAACACATTAACCAGACTTCCCCGTGTCCCATTCTAGAATCAATCTCTCCCTCCCTCTCTCTCTCTCTTTCTGTCTCTCTCTCATTTCCCTTCTCCTCCTCTCAGCCCACAAAAAGCACCAATCAGATTACTCCTTGGGGACCTGAGAACTCTCACTCCTCTGCTCCCTGCAAGCCAACCCTGGTCCCTTTTACCCTTCAAGGCTGTCGTTTAATCTGTAAGATGCCTAGGGCCAAAATAATTCCCATCGAAACATTTTCTCCAAACCCCCAGAGAATCAAGACAGACCCTGCAGCCCACACGCTGGCCAGGTTTGCTCTTGTCTCTCGGGCATCCCCAGTATCCCTTTGTGGAGGGACAGAGTCGGCTTGGCCCTTCCTCCATCTGTGACATGAATGTCCATGGCCCTGTTGAGTCTTCGTGATGACCGATGTGTGTTGTCTGTTCTCTGTTGTCTGTTAAAATTCTTTGTCGTGTAGGTAAAATGCAGGATGGCACTGTGGACGCCAGCCAGAGCAAAGGTAACCCTTTTGTATTAACCGGGTCCTGTGGTCCCTGCGGCCCCTCCCCACCGGTTCTGAGGGCTACGCCAGAGGCAGACGCGGCTGCAACTATGGGTGCCTGACGTCTTTGGGGGGTATAGCTATGATTCACGTGGTACCAGGCCAAATGGAGACTTCATCCGGTGAGGATGGGACACCTGCAAGCCAGCTTCCCCCCAGCCTTTGAGCTACGCTGCCCTTTTAGCTGAATACTTGAAGCTGGTTCTTTGAGATCCTTAGGGGAGAAGGGTTAGGCCTCAGGCCCACTAGTCAGTCCTGCTCCGAATGAGGAGGGGGCTTGGCCCATGGATGGGGACATTCTCTTTTACCTTTTAAGCCCACTTTTTTTTGTCCCTACTGTCTAGGGATAACTTAATATCCCAACAAATGGTCTAAGGACCAATAGGTAAAGCCCAAGCCATGTGTCTTGTTTGAATGTGGGAAAAGCCAACGGGCCATTCGGAGAAGTCCCAGAGGAGACTCCAGCCCACTTCTGCTGGGAATCCAGGGTGGAGCCATGTCACACTCCCTGATGTGTCCTGGATTCCAGGTCTCAGGCAGCCAGTGGCCCTGGTTCCAATGTCTCTGGCTGGAAGAGGCAGACCCCCCATCACAGGGCTTCTGTGCCGGCCATGCGGGGGCCCAGGCAGGGATGTGGGTGCCTCACCACACTCCCCCAGGCAGGCAGGGTGGGGGCCAGCATCCCCACCCTGCAGGCTGACCTGTGTGTGCGCATGTCTGTGTGTCTGTGTGTGTGTCTGTGTGTATACATGCGTGCTCTGCCACTTGCAGCCAAACAGCAGGATGGGGCAGCCGCCATGGAGATGCAGCCCCTCAAGAGTGCTGAGGGCGGCGACGCTGACGACAAGAAGAAAGCCAACATGCACAAGAAGGAGAAGTCGGTGCTCCAGGGCAAGCTCACCAAGCTGGCTGTGCAGATCGGCAAGGCGGGTGAGTGTGCAGGGGAGCTTCCCCTAGCTCTGAGTTCCCATCTCCTGGTCTGTGAAATTGGGATACCCAGTGGTCCCTACTTCACTGGTTGCTAGGAGGATTAAAGGAGATTATGCACAGAGTGCTTAGCACTTGGCGGGTGTGGTGACTGGAGAGGAGCCAGATCCTGCAGGGCCTGGAGTTTGCAGTGCAGGCTTTATCCTGAGGATAGTGGGAGCCATGGAAGAAGTTTGAGCAGGGGAGGGCAGGGATACATTTGGACTCTATAATGAGCACCCCAGCTGCAGTGCATGGGAAAGATTGAAGAGGCTGAGAGCAGTGCCAGGATCCCCAACAACAAGCTGGGCTTCCCAATTGAGTTAGCTGCAGGTGAAGGCTGGTGACACCCTTCTGGCCCAGGAAGCCAAGCCCAGCTGCAAGGTGAGCCCTGCACATCTGACGCAGCCTTGGCCTTCCCTCCTGGGTAAGGACGTGGCAAACACCAAGGCCTCCCCACCTGGCTGCTCGCTCCTCCATGGCTGTCTCCCGGCTCTAATTATAGGCACCGCAGTGTGGAGAAAGGAGGCAAATTATAGGCTTGGCTGTCTATATTTAAACTCGGGGTCCTGGTGACAGCTCCCGGCTGCGGGGAGCTTGGCCTCCCGCCCCGGCGACTGTCAGACAGGGATAGAGCAGGCTCTGAGGTTCCACAGCTGGAGGATGGGGGGACAATGGGCTCGGGGATTTCCTCCGTGCCCGCCATGGAGAAGACTCCCAGGAAACACGACACCGGGGGACAGGGAGCGAAGCAAGAACAACCCTGTGGCTTTCAAAGTTCCTGCTCACCTCCCTTCCCCTCCTTGGCCCTGTCACGACGAATGGAGTTCAGAGTCAAGCGCTTCTGGATTCACATCTCACCTCTGCTTCTCTCTTAGGCTGAATCCCCTGAAAGCAGAGCTGAGGATGGGTGGGCTTGCGATTTGGGGAGGGGGTGCTCACAGGGGAGACCTGTAAAAGGCAAGGGACGCATAGGGACAGGGAAGAAGCCAGATACAGCTGAAGTTTCAGGGAAAATCCCAGTCTCCACCTGCTCCATGGGGAGCTCTGGAGCAGAGGACCTCTGCAAGGTCTGTTCCACCTTGCAGCAAG